TTATTGAATATTATGTTGATTGATGATTATGGTAATGATTATTGATTGATTATTATGATGATTGAATCTTGATGAATATTCTGATTAAAAATGATAATTGTGAATGATTAAATCATAATGAATATATTGATGATTGTGAAAATAAAATGTATTGTTAAGGGTATCTAGAAGACCTCTAAGATATACCCATATTAATGTTGATTTGAAAGGTATCTAGAAGACCTCTAAGATATACCCATATTAATGTTGATTTGAAAGGTATCTAGAAGACCTCTAAGATATACCTATTTAAGTTAGGCCTTGCGGGTATGAACCCCGGTGGCTAGGGTTAAAACGTACGTACGGGATCCAAGAACCAAACTTGAGTACCTACTCGTTTGGGGGTACCATCCACCCAACAGTGAACACTACGCTGTCGGTTTTTGGTTGGCCTTAAGTGAAGGTAAGTTTAAGATTTTCAAAACCCTTTTATCTTAAACTAGGCCTAGCTTAAGGATTATTTAGGAATATTTTATACTGGAATATAGTTTAATTATTTAAACTAGAATTCGTTTAAAGGTTGACAAATATTAAAGTGATTGGCCTTAGACTTAGAATAGTTTAAGGATATTGTTGAATGTTGAATATTGAATATTGAATATTGAATATGAGTAAATATTGAATTGAATATTGCAATTATTATGAATGACTGATAAACATTGAATGTGAATATAAATGTTGAATAATGCATGATGAATAATTTTTAATAATTATTGATTATCTGAACTGAACATTATGTGCATGGTATCAAATGATTTGATTATGAATTTAGATTCAGTTTATATGAATGTTCGATGCATTAGATATGCTTACTCAGCTTCAACGCTGAGCGTGTAGTATGTTTTATTTGCTACACGCAGGTTAATGAAGTGACGTGATCCTGGAGGCAGACGGAGGCGAGATTGTCGGAATGCATGTGATGGTTTTGAATTAAAGAACATAAATAAATTATGTTTGTGATTATGATTGTTAAACTTCCGCAATATTGAAAACTCCGTACTGTTTATATTATGAAAAATATTATTGTGATAAATAAAAGTATTTGAAATGTTTTAAATTTTTACGATTACCAAGTTAATATTTTAATCTGAAAGGGGCTGCAGACCTGGACAGATTAGGGTGTTACACACACTTTGCATAGTCTTCGTCGCAGTGCCACATTAACAACAATGAAGGTATAATTCCAAACACGACCACATATAATCTCACATATGGTAATACATAATGTCGCGGATTAACGTATAATGTCACATATGGTAATGCACAATGCCACATATTATCATATATAATGCCACTGTTGCAAATTCAAAATGTCAAACAAATGAATAATGTCAA